TCATCATCATCAGGCCCTTCATTATTTCCGCCAGACTTCAATTCAGTCGTCCGTTCATCTATCTGTTTAGCTTGTTTAATCATCTCGAAGATGAACGTCGACTTTTCTTCAGATCCTTCATCCTCGCTTTTCCCTTCCTTTGTACTCAAATTCTGCACATGGGGTTGTTGGTCCTTTATTAATTCCAATGAAGCACTTGTCTTAGTGCTAGTCAATCTATCCTCTTCTGCATCCTTCGCATTTACCATTGTCTGAATGACCACATTTCCCACACGCTGAGGAGGCTGTGTTCCATCCTGTGACTCAATAGGCACGCTGGGCTTAGTCGACGAGGTGGTGGCAGTACTAGCAGGCAGCTTGTTTTCAGGGGTTTTAAACGCGAAGTTTACGGAGATCGGGTGACCTTCCAGTAGAATCTTATGGCATTGAGAGAAGGCATCAAGAGCAACTGCGTCCGAAACGTAATTGAGAATGGCATAACTAAAATCACCCAAAACAATGTGATTATTAGAGGCATGAACGCCAAAATCCCTGAGCATCAACACAACAGAACACTAAAAATTCTGATTCAAAATATGAACGTACCCGTAATTAAAATTGCGTGGAGACATCGGCAATCTGATATTTTCGGCGGTGGGAAAGACATTTTTAAGATCTGCCTGTCTAACGCCTGGTGGCAGGCCTGTGACTAAGATACGTAAAAAGTCAATATCGTCCGGGTTATAAACTCCATTCGTAATTCTGTTGCCTCCGTACAAGTGATTGGATCGGACTTCTGCTCGCATAGACTGACCAGCAAAAAGGCGACCTGAGATGGACAACTTCTCCCTGTTTGCAGTTTCTGCGTTCGCGAATTCCACAAAAACGAAACTGTATCAAAAAATGCATTATTACTCGTACACAAGATCCGGATGGTCATAACTTCGATAGGCGAGCTGTATTCAGAAACGCTAAAATCACACAAGTTAATGGAATCACAAGCGATACTTAATAGCTATGTGTAACAGG